GAAATTGTGGTTTTTGTTTTAACAATAAAATTTGAGTATTTAGTGAAGTTTATTCATGTTCTGCTTGAAAGTTAAAAATTAACCGGCTAACAAGTCAGACCAAACCATTTGTTTTTATTTATAAATGGGTCAGGCCAGGCTTATAGTTAAGTCGTACTATGCTATTGGGCCAGGTCCAATTGAATTTTTTTTACATAGACTTGGACTTTTCGGGACAAAATTCGGCCCAACGTAGACCACTTTCACCCCTAGTAATTGCATCGTTTTACTTAGAATCCTGATCGTAATGTTTTGTATTATTTTTCATAATATTTTATGGGAAAAGTGTATATCCTTTTAAAGGATACACACTTATATCCTTTTAAGAGAGATAAAAGAATAAATTTGGAGAAGAGAGAGTGGAGGAAAAAATTTATAATTTGAAATTTGAAAAAACACACTACATTCTTCTAAAAGGACCATCCTTTTAAATGACAAACAATAAACCTATATTTTATATGTACGTATAATATTGATTGGTTAAATGTTGGACGAAGATAATTGTAAAACTGCACCACTAGCTAGGATTAGCCTAGTGGTGTTGGGTGTGTAGTGTGTATTAGGTTGCAAGTTCGATTCCTGTAATATTCAAAAAAAAAAAGATAATTGTAAAACTATTGATGATGAAACACTAAGGTGGTGTTTGGCAAGCCTCTTTTTCCAATTTTCCTTGGCATGTGGCGTGTGGATTCCAAAAAAGACATGTTTGGTTAGATGGATTCAGATAAAAAAACTAGTGATCCAAAATGCATGGGTTTTGAGAAATTGTTAGGAAAAAGACGCTTTGTCCACTGTTTCGTATGTGGTTTTTTGAAAAACCACGACTAAAGCAAATTTTGTGTAACCAATATACCCACCCTTGTGTAGAAGCAAAGGTAGAAGCAAATTTGACAGCTGTGCTCTTTTTTTAAATTTTAAAATCAGGGTTATTTTAGTAATTTAACATTGTTTTTCCATCTATATCTCACCTCCAACCAAACATACATACCCTAAAATTTACCTAATTTTCCTAGTAAAGTTTTTCTCCACCAAACAACTTTTTTTTACATTTTTCTACCTATCTCACTTTATCTATCTTTCCAATCATTTCTCTATCTATTACATTTTCCTACTATTTCAAAAAAATTTCCTCAACCAAACGCCCCCTAATAGAATCCCAATAGGCATAAAAAAATTAAAATTGAAGTATGAATAGTTTGGTATTACGAAAATTGAAGTAACTACATTCTATTTAAGGGTTTTATTTTTCTTATATCACATAAGATAAATCTTCTCTTTTACTCTCACAACAAATGATGGGATCCACTTATTTTTTAAAAAAGAAAAAAGAAAAAAATAGAGCACGAAAATCGAAATGAGAGTAGGAGATAAAATTTTTCTTATATGACATAAAAAAGATAAAACCCTCTATTTAAAGGATGTAAAAAATCAAAGCTTGCTTAGTTTTAAATAATCTAATTCAAACAGCTACAATTATATGATTTTTTAAGTGATTGTATACCTTCTGAGTAATGTCACTAAGGTTTAATACATTCTTGTCACCACTTAAAGTAGCCTTTAACCTTTTACAGTAAATCATTAATTTTACTTTGCTAGTCTCTAATCTTATTCACCTCAAACTTTACTTTTGCTTAAGATTCAGGACTCACAGTGTTCACATGAAAGAGACTTTTAATATAATACTGGAAAATATTTTTGATACATCAGATATACTAATCACTTAGTACATCTTTTACCAACTATAAAAGAACTACTATATTTACATTACTTTATCTTTACGGTTATTTCAATATCTCTTATTTTTTTTTTGATAAGGGAGTACCTATTCCCATTGTACCAAAAAATCACTCATAATATTCATGCGGGTTTTCCCGTGTTTATTTTCTTTTCTTTCTTGAAGGAGGGGAATTTTACTTTTAGTTAATCCTTCGGGGGGACGTTTGGTAAAAAAGAATTTTTTTTATACGGATATCATGATTTTTGAAAATATAATGAAAAAATGAGTTTTTCAAAAATATTATCAAAAAGTTATTTGGTAGGTTAAAATATTCTCAGAAATATTAGACTATTTTTTTTTATACTAGATTTGGTTCATTGTAAAATATAAGATATGATATTGTTACTATCAAATAATGTTATTACCATATCTTAACTGTCGATTTTCGTCAATCAGCTGTTATCATTTATTGCGAATTATTAATTAATTAATGAGTCTGAGATTGACGAAAATTAATGGTTAAAATATGATAGTAACATTATTGTTAGGAACGTGGATGATTTTACAAAAGTAACATCGATCTCGGACAACTATTTATTAGTTTTTCTCTCTTCTTCCATCATTGCAAAATAGAGGAACCTTTGGTGGCTGCAAAATAGAGCAACCTTTCATGGCTTTCATCATTGCAAAATGATGGGTTTTTTGATTTTGTTTTATTTTATTGACAAAGAAATTATGAAATAACTTGAAGTTAGGGGTGTCAATATGGGTTGACATGACACGAATTTGACACGACACGAATTTGACACGACACGAATACATCAACACGAACACGACACGAATTTTCATTCGTGTCAAAATCTTCAACACTGACACGACACGAATTTTTTGCGGGTTGACACGACACGACACGAATAACACGCAAAATAGGGGACAAAACGGTAATTGACAAAAAAATTAAAAAAATAGATCGAAAATAAATAAAAAATTAAAAAAAAATAAAAATAAAAATAATAATTAAAATAATACGGGTCGACACGAACACGAATTCATAAACACGAACACGACACGAATTTTTTGCGTGTCATTTTTTCCAACACGAACACGACACAAATTTTTTTACGGGTCAACCCGAACACGAATTTTAGTGTCGTGTCGCGGGTCAACCCGCGTGTCAAAACCCATATTGACACCCCTATTTGAAGTATCCTAATTGCTGAGTCAACTGTGTTGATCGAGGCCTTTTCATTTTCAGATCGTCATTTGTGAAGAAGACTAAAAGTTAGCGTTCCAGCATTTGTGAACAAGTCGGTTATGGAGGAGAGTTTGTAATTCTTGAAAGACGCTTCTCTTCAAAAATGATGGTGATTCGTGAAGTCTAAAAACGCTGATTTGGAAACAATAGCAGAGAAATAAACTTTTTTCGGTTTAGATTTCCTTTCAGTGTAAAATCCCCCCTCTTTTTTTTTTGTGAAATGGAGCTCTGCAGCGAATGAAAAATGAAGAGAGCACTATGTCGAACATCTCTAGAAATGCTGAAGCTCTTTTTTCATGGGTTTATAAATAACGAAGAGAGAAAATAAAAAGCGCTAATTTTTTGTGAAAGTTGCATAGAGATGAAACGTAAATGGACAGAGGAAGAGCAAAACGACGGTTACTTTTGTAAAGTTTTTTTGTGAAATTTTTTCATGTCAACGGAAATCTAAGAATGGAAATCTTGGTTAAAATTTGGTCATAAAACAAAAGGGTTTATCTAGTCTCATGTTGGTTGCATAAGAGAAGAAATTTTATGTGGTAGATATATAGTGGTGGGATCCATTATTTAAAAAATAAAAAAAGAAAGAAAAAAAATATTGCACGATTATCGAAAGGTGTGGAGAAAAAACATTTATCTTATGTGACATGAGAATAATTTTTCTCTAAAACAAATTATCGGAAAACTCACAATCCTGAATTTTTTTTTTAAAATCTTCTGTCAAACATGAGTAAAGTAAATTATCACCTCTACTTTCGTAGGAATCCAAAAAATAAAAAATAAAAAAAATCCTAGCAGACATCCTGTGAGTGTATTTATTCGTTTAACACAATGATTAAAGCTTGGACACAAACTTTAATGATTAGATGATGTCAAATTTCCAGTGATACTGTTATTTAATTATTATTTATATATTTTGTATATAAATAAATTTTTTGCCTTTTAATTAATAAAAATATTTTTTCATATTGTAGCAGAATTATTTTATTCTATCAATTTTCGTATAATATATATTTTTTTTAATAAATGTGAGCTCATATAAAATATATTTATAGCATGAGATAGTTATATCTTATTATACGAGAAAATTGAAATCCTTTAATTGTTTATTTTACCTTGCGGATTAGCCCTAACCTATTAGATTTTTGGCCACACTTTTATATGGGAACAGAGGAGTGGAGTTTTTAGAAAAAATGTGCTGTATTCTGAACACTAGACAACAATTATGCCAGGCTTATGCATCTAGATCTTGTGTTCCTATTTTTCAAACAGAAACTCGGCAGCCTCCAATTCTTCTGGATAGTCAATTAAATTAAAAAAAGTAATGGAAATCAAACGAGTAATGAGCAAATAAATTAATTTGCTTATGATTTTCTCTCTTTCCCTTTAAATATTTAAAATAAGAGCTGCGAAAATAAAAAGGCAAGCATAGGTCCTATTCGAATGTAATTTACCTACGTGGCTATACATGAACCGTAGTAAAACCGCATGTAATTTTGCTCTTAAACTCATACAGGAATGGCAATAAATGATACAGATGATATGGATAAGCATAGTCGAAAGGCAAATGTCATAGTGTCACAAAAGGCGAAAAAATCTGATTTCCCCATTTCCTTAAAATGAATAAAAAAGGACAAGAAATGTACCAATATTATTTGTCCGAAGAAGAAGGTATTGTGCTATTTGTTAACGAGTTAGGATATTCTAACTACCAATTTTTTTTTACTTGGATTAAAGGAAAAGTTGAATGAAGAGAGAGAGAAAAAAAATAACTTTTGAATCCAATAGTAATTAAAGTGGTAGTGGAGTGATAATAAAAAAAATTGGTAGTAGAAATATCTTACCTCTTTGTTAATTGACAATCATATCTGGGAAGGAAAAAGGTGGCATATTTTTGAAACCCTTTGACATTCACTTTGGCCATTTTGCAATGAAAACGATGACAGCGGTTTGACTTGGGCCATGGTACCGTGTCTGTTTTAGGTTGTTTGTTTGTTTATTTGTTCCCTTCGTTCAATGAATGGGCTTAGTGACATAAATAAGCATGAGCTGTGAACTCAGTAGCTTTTTAACTCCACCCACAATAACAGAAGAAAAGTAGAAAAAAAAGAAGAAAAAACCCACTTTTCTTTTTAGGGTTCTTGTTTAAATCATCAAATTTTGTGGTAGTTGCTGCTAGTGGAGATTTTCGATGGGGTCGAAGCCATGGCTGCACCCCGCTTCCACTTATGGTCCTCTTGAAACCTACTGGGACACCGATGAAGATGCTCCTGGTCCTCGCTGTGGTCATACGCTCACCGCCGTCGCTGCCACCAAGTCACTTGGTCCCCGCTTGATCCTCTTCGGCGGCGCCACTGCCATTGAAGGAGGATCTTCTTCAGCTCCCGGCATTCGTACCCACCCTTCACTCTCTCTCTCTTTCTTTTTCTGTCACTTTTTTTGCCTGAAAATTTGCTCGCTTTTGTTTGCTGTTACTTTTCAGGGTTAGCTGGAGTCACAAATTCGGTCCATTCTTATGACATTCAGACTAGAAAATGGACTAGGTGAGTTGATTCCTGGTTTTCCCATTTCTTAAATCTTGCAAATTCGGTTATTTTATGGTTTTGGGTGGTTGAATTGCTACTCAAGTAACGATCTTTAATGCTTTATGTGTGTTCAGTATTAAGCCTGCCGGAGAGCCGCCGTCTCCTCGGGCTGCTCATGCCGCTGCTGCAGTTGGAACAATGGTTGTTTTTCAGGTGATTGTTGGATAAATTGGAGTGACTGAGATAAGGTTCCTTTTTACTAGTTTGGGGATGATGGGGTTTGGATAAGGTTTTAAGACTTAAGATGATATGTCTGATTGATTCTGTTTGGCTAGGGTGGGATAGGTCCTGCTGGACATTCTACTGATGATCTCTATGTGCTTGACCTGACCAATGATAAATACAAATGGCACAGGTGAGTTTGTTTTATTTGAACAAGCTTTTCTTTTTTCATGCTTACAAAATTATGGTATTAGTCAATGATGCAATTAATTTAATTGTAGGGTCGTCGTACAAGGGCAAGGACCCGGGCCTCGCTACGGCCATGTAATGGACTTGGTTGCTCAGAGATATCTTGTTACTGTCAGCGGAAATGATGGTGAGAGAAATTCAGTGTCTGGCTGTCTTCTTTTGTTTTACATTTTCATATTTAAATTGTAGTGAGTAATGTCGTAGTTGTAAAAACAAGATGTCTGCTACAAACTTTCTGGATCGACCAATTAAGTGGCAACATGGTAAAGCTAAACATGAATGATAGATGAGGTTGACTAATGAATGCCATGTGTATAAGTTTCTTTTGGATCAGTGTTTGTCGTACTTCAGTAGATTGAAAGTTGACGAAAACTAAAGAACAGTTGTCCTTACACAATTTATGACCAATTTGGTGATTGAAAGTTTATATCCTTTTTATCCAGTTGTTATTACATAATACGTACACCTCATTTTAATATAAAATTTTGATAATAAATACTATGAAGTTGGTAGTCGAATTTCCGCTAAGTTGTTTTCCTTGTATATTCAAATGCTACATATATCTGTCTGGCTATAGAATGCTTATCTTAGTACACTCTTGTGAATAAAGTTTGTCGTCATGTGATATGTAATAAATTATTTTGAATTTTATACCATGTGGTAGGGAAAAGAGTTGTATCTGATGCTTGGGCTTTGGATACTGCTCAAAAACCTTATGTGTGGCAGAGGCTGAACCCAGAAGGTGATAGACCTTCCGCTAGAATGTAAGTCTGTCTAGCCTCTTCGCCTTCGCAAGTGAAGCCTCAACTGTCTTCATATTTTCAATATATATAAAATATATTGTAATTTTACATAATTCTACCTCAATTTATAGGTATGCAACTGCTAGTGCCCGCTCAGATGGAATGTTTTTGCTGTGTGGTGGAAGGGACTCTACTGGAACTGTATAATTGATCATACTCTTCTAATCAGATCAGTGCAATCTGTTGCTTTTAGAAATATTTAATATGCTAATCTATCATGAGTGGATTCTGACATCCCATTTGGGTTGTTAAATTGAAGTGTGTTGAGTAATAAGTAATTTTGTTGTAGCAGAAAAGCATACTTTGGAATATCATGTTGTTATGAATCTTGCATTTTAGGCCTATTTAGTGAAATATGATAGCATTTATTGTACTTATCCTCTGCAGCCACTCGCAGACGCCTATGGACTGCTCATGCATAGGAATGGCCAGTGGGAATGGACCCTTGCACCTGGAGTTTCCCCTGCACCAAGGTATCAACATGCCGCGGTAAGTGAGAGATTCCTACAATAAATTTTTTATATGATTTTTCTCATAACTAGGATTTGTGTATGTTTCTTTCACATTATTACTTAATCAGGCATGATTTGGTGCTTTAATCTTGACCATTCATGCATGATATAACTGTCAAAATTTACTTCTCTCATAGTAAAATATATGCTTATTTATGTACATGTAGTTACAGACCTCGATTGTAAGAATTGACCTTGCTTCCATCTAATGGCTAAAAAGCACCAAAATTCATTTTGGGGTCTCACTTTAATTAAGAGTGTTACCCACTCAAAAGCTAACTTTCATACACACAGACCCAAAATAAAAGTTTCAAGACATTTATCTTGCTTTCATCTAGCAGGGTAATTGTGATTTATGACATTAAATAGGAGACTAGATAGATCGTATGCTGACATAAATTTGGATTTGGCAAAAGATTCTGTCTTTAAAAATATTACTCTATCTCACACACTGTTTCTCATACTATTTCTCTCTTAAACTGTTGAATTTTTAAGTTTTATTTCTCTGTGGTCAATTTGTCCTCATGTGATGGAGAGAGACTGTGTGACATTCTAAAAGAATTTTAGTGAATTTCTCTTTCCTATTTAATGCTAGATTCCACGATAAGTTCTGGATATCTTTTAGTTCTTGGATGAAAACAAGATGATTGGCTTAGAATTGGTGTAAGAGTTTTACTTTTGTAATGATGTCAATTGATCTTGACCAATTTACTCGTTCCTTTTGAAGATTGTTTTTTGATTGAAAGTGGCATTGCATTCTATCAGGTTTTTGTTGGTGCGAGATTGCATGTTACAGGAGGTGTTCTCAGGGGTGGACGGGCTGTGGAAGGCGAAGCAGCTGTTGCAGGTAACTTGCTTTTCTATGTTATTACCAAATTTTCTTATTGCATGTGTTTCTTGCTATGCTGTTTTATCCATTTCCCATATATATATATGTATATTTTCTTTTTAATGTTTTGACAGTATTGGACACCGCTGCTGGGGTTTGGTTGGACAGAAATGGCATTGTGTCCTCCTCACGCTCAAACAAAGGTCATGATTCTGACCCTTCTTTGGAGCTTATGCGTCGTTGTCGCCATGCTGCAGCAGCTGTTGGTGTTCATATATATATCTATGGCGGTCTTAGAGGAGGTAAATACTCACATTATGAAAGATGATGTTGTAATTGAAGAACTGGGAGTTTACTTTGACTTGAAAAACCAAATGCAGAATATTCAATTTGTCACTTATTACTAAAATAGTTAAGCTCACAAAAATTGGCTGACACTTTCTCTTGTCTTCATTCCAGTGGCTTTAGTCTTTAAGAATTAATTGGCAAAGATGCCATCAATACAGTCTGTCATATTGATATACTTTTATTTATTTTTTAATTAAATTAAATGGCATTAATGTACATCAATCATCCCTTTAAGGGTTATTGGCAGCTGCATGGGGCTCTAGTCTTGTATACCTTTCTTTGGCACGAAATAAGCACGATCCTCGTCAGAGTTATCAGTAGCAGGCTATAGTGCCACCTGGCTGCTATTCAGAAGCTGTAGCATAGCGTTTTTGTGTAGCAGGTGCTATCGTGGCCAAGATAGTGGCCTATAACGCCCCTCCTCGAAAAGTGGGTAAAAAACTCCTCTTTTCTCCATCTCTTCATTGTCCCATTAGCAAATTTCAGGGAAAAATTAGAACCCCCCCCCCCCCCCCCCAAAAAAAAAATAAAATAAAATAAATAAATAAATCAGATCTCTGTTCCACCCATCTTCATTATCAAAACCCTTGAGACACCCTTGAAGATGCCTCTCTCTCTCTCTCTCGTCTGTTTCAGGCAGTTTTCTGGCCACTGCTCAACCAACCTAATTTTAATAAATTAGGGATTCTCTCCAAATAAGTATGTGATTTTAGGGATTTTCTGCAAATAATCATGTTGGCTTTCATTGACAATTTCCTTGTTTGAGAAATAGTGTTCTGTCCTTCTTCTCAAATATGCCAAAAGCATTGTTGGGCTATGCGTTATAATGTCTCGAGTTGATTAATTCTTAGCTATGCAGAGTTAGTTAGCACTAATCAAAATTCTTATTGAAGGAATTGATATGTTTTAAGTCAACTAATTTTTATTATGTACTGCAAGTTTCTTAATAATTTTATATTTTCATTCTTCTTAAATTAGTGTTCCTTAGATATTTCAAACTGTATTTTTTGTTTACCAATTCTGATGAAGCCATGATATCCTGTGCAGATATACTACTAGATGATTTTTTAGTTGCTGAAAATTCACCATATCAGCCCGACAATAATTCTCCTGTGTTAATGGCTGAGAGAGCTTCACCTGTTACAAGCCCCAAACACAATCATTCTAACTCGAATCCCTCATCTGGTGGCTCAGGGTATATCATTCGTTGCTTCTTTCTTTAGAAGCTCAACACTTCTACCTCACCATTCTTGTGCTTGGGCTATTTCAGTTGTATGACAACTTGATATGTGTTCATTTTACCAGCATGGACGAAAATTCCATGGAGAAACTGAGGGAGGCATCAGCTGCTGAAGCTAAGGCAGCGAGTGCTGTATGGCAAGCTGTGCAGTCTATATCAAGTAGTCCTGCAGAAGAAACATCTGTCTCAGATGACAACTCACAAGCTGCAGAAACAGTTTCAGATGGAAGTGACACAGAGGGAGATGTTCGCCTTCATCCTAGAGCTGTATGTTCTTGGAATCCTTGTTTATAACTGATAATGTTCCACTCAAGGCTGCAAAATCATATACACTTTGTTTCAGGTTGTAGTTGCTAAAGAGGCTGTAGGTAACCTAGGTGGAATGGTGAGACAATTATCACTAGATCAATTTGAAAATGAAAGCAGACGCATGGTTCCCATAAATAATGATTCGCCATATCCTACGAAAAAGTTCACCAGACAGAAATCCCCTCAGGGTTTACATAAAAAGGCAAGAATTATTTGATACACATTCTTCTTCCTATATGTTGTTGGTGCTAGACATATTATTTCTACTCATATTATTATCATATTGCTACTTTAGACAATTGCTTATTATTGTTGTCTTCTTGCCAGATAATTTCTACTTTGCTTCGGCCTCGCAACTGGAAAGCTCCAGCAAACAGGCGGTTCTTCTTGGATTCTTATGAAGTGGGTGAGCTTTGCTATGCTGCTGAGCAAATATTTATGCATGAACCAACTGTTCTTCAGCTTAAAGCTCCTGTCAAAGTATTTGGTGATCTTCATGGTCAGTTTGGTGATTTGATGCGGCTATTTGATGAATATGGGTTTCCTTCAACTGCAGGAGACATCACGTAAGTTTGTTACATGTATTCATTGGTTGATTAACATTGCTGGTGTGTCAAAATGGCTTGTGTATAGTATCAATCAGCTCTTCTCCATTTCTGTGATATCATGTAATCGTGGATCTTCTTATTCCTTGGCGGTCATTGGAAATTAGTTACAACATTCTAGTCATAGACTAACATATTGTAAATTATCAAGCATCCATATTTTTAAGAGTTAAAATAGCTTCTCCTTGGTAAGCAGATCACTGGATATTTTTCAAGAGTATTTGCTAAAATTATGTGTTAGATACATGAATAATTTATTTGTTAGTTACATTTGAGGCCTTGAGGGATATTGTTGTGCACTAAGTAAGGAGGGCTCTTACTTTGAATCCAGTTTAAGACTATTTGTTTGGCTGTAAGTCTTTGCTGTGTGGATTTTAACATGCACTTCTTCTGAATGGTTTTGTATTTGAGCTTTATGCTAAGTCCAAAAATGTTTTCCATCCTAAAACCATGTCTAGAAATGTTTACTCGGAATTAGTTGCGATTTGAAGTAAATCTTGCAGACTGATGGTTGGGGGGTTAAGTTACGTGCTATGTGTTCCTTATCAGGATTGTTTAATTGGACAATTGATCTGTTTCAGTCTTGTTCTGTGTAAATAACACATTTATTCTAGTTAATGGTAAAGTGAGAATTTGTTGAAGCTGTCCTTCTCTTGCTGTGCTCATTCATATGAACATTTTGTAATTAGCTAACTCATTTAATGTGTTAGGTATATTGACTACCTGTTTTTGGGAGATTATGTTGATCGAGGACAGCACAGCTTGGAAACAATCACCTTGCTTCTTGCTCTTAAGGCAGGCTACTGTTTAGTTATATTAGTTGCCAGATATTATTGTGTTTGGCTTTCTCTGTCTTTATAATTGACCTAGTACTGGCATTCTTGTGATTGTGCAGATTGAATATCCTGAGAATGTTCACTTGATACGTGGAAACCATGAAGCTGCTGACATAAATGCACTATTTGGTTTTCGTATAGAGTGCATTGAAAGAATGGTAGGGATGATAACATTCTTGTATTGATTTAGTTTTTAGGTTCAACTCTACAATTAACTATGTGCTTGTAGGGAGAAAATGATGGAATATGGGCATGGACACGTTTCAATCAACTTTTTAACTATCTTCCGCTAGCTGCTCTTATTGAAAAGAAAATTATCTGTATGCATGGTGGCATTGGAAGATCTATCCATTCAATAGAACAGATAGAGAAGCTTGAAAGGCCCATAACAATGGATGCAGGATCTATTATTTTAATGGACCTTTTATGGTACTCTCTTCTTTGTTTATCTATTTTTTTTTTTTTTTTCATGTGGCTTTTTGTTATGTTTGCATTCCTTTTGTCTTATTAACATTTATATATTTGTAGGTCTGATCCCACAGAAAATGATAGTGTAGAGGGTTTGAGACCAAATGCTAGAGGGCCAGGGCTTGTCACTTTTGGGGTAAGTATGGTATCATTCATTGCAAACATGGACCTTTCATGCTATCAGTCATTCTTCCCACCACCCATAAATTATGATGTATGAATATGTAATCTCATGTTTACAGCCGAGATTATGGACTAATATTGTATAAATGGTGTGGTCCCACTTGATGATTATTACAATTTTGTTAATGACTGTATCATCCAAATCCAGTGTTGGAGGAACCTTCTGTTTCATTTCCCCCCATTTATATCTATCGAAAATCAATAAACATTGACCCCATCTTTCCCCATCGGAAATATAAATTCCAATTTCCAAAAGTCTCATAATAGTTGAAAAGGCTACCTAGCCTGCTGCTTTGTTACTTCTCTATTGAAAGAATCATTATAATATTACCTTTAAAATCAAATATATTTCAGTCCTAACAATATTAATCAAATATTCACTGTTGAAATAGGACAGGTCTATGGCCTCTCTCTAATTTTTTTGTCATGGTTGTTTTAAGGGAGTTGTCATTTCAGATATGCTCGGATTGGGCAGCATTGCTGCATTCGTGATTCTTTTCATGTTCTCCGGTTCCCCCCTCCCTCTTTTTCCCCCCGGAGGATATCTAGTTCTCCTGTAACTGTACTTTCCCCCTCTTCACTGTAGTGGAATTTCTTTTTGTAATTTTTTTTAAACCTTAACTTGAAATGGTCCCTTATTAGATGTTATTGGTTTGAGTTTGAACTTGAAAAATACCTTTCTTATGAGCAATTTTTAAGAAAGGTCAGCACACTCCTTGGAATCAATAATCTTCCTATAGGACCAAATAATTGGCAAGGAGTAAGCTAACTGTGCCTTACAAAAGAGGAAATTTTTGTTTTTTGTGAAGGTCTACTAACATTCCCCAAACCCCCCCCAAAAAAAAAAGAGGACTTAGGAATTGCTATTAAGACACCATGTAATATGCACAAATAATATAAAACATACAAAAATTGTTTTTGGACACAATTCGAAGTAGTTCATATCTTTTACTATTTCATACCATTTTATACAATGGAATATTACAATAGCTACACGTGCGATAAAGTTCTTGCTATTTAAATGCGAAGCTGACCTATTATTTTTCTTATTTTATGCAGCCTGATCGCGTCATGGAATTCTGTAAGAGAAATAAATTGCAGCTCATTATAAGGGCCCATGAATGTGTCATGGATGGTTTTGAGCGATTTGCCCAGGGACAATTAATCACACTTTTTTCTGCAACTAACTATTGTGGTAAGCATAATTCCTCACCAGCGTTCTCCTTTGCATGTGATAGCATTTCAATCTCATGTTGGGTATATTATTTAGGAACTGCAAACAATGCGGGAGCTATACTGGTAGTTGGTAGGGGCTTGGTTGTGGTTCCAAAATTGATTCATCCCTTACCACCTCCCCTTCAGTCCCCCGAGACATCTCCTGAGCGTGTCATGGATGAGACATGGATGCAGGTGAGCTTTATGCAGTATCTTGCTTCTCTATACTGTACTTTTAACAATTACTGAAAATGGTGAATTTGTTGAATGGTGATTTTTTTGGGGGGTTCTTATTCTAGGAGCTTAATATATTGTTCTTATTCCAGGAGCTTAATATTCAGAGACCACCAACTCCTACTAGGGGTCGACCACAGCCTGACCTTGACCGTGGCTCACTAGCATATATATGATATAATTCATGACATGAAATGCAGCACTTGAGGATATCTCATCAGGCTTGATACCCTGCTCACCAAATGTTCTGTTCATATCTTTGTTGTTGACAGAATACATATTTATTTTGTACTGTATTTTTTTTCTAGTTGCAGAAAGTCAAATTGTTGTTATATACAGGCTCGAGAGAGCGCATTATGAGTGATTATCTTGTGGAGATTGGATTTATAAGGCATGGGACGTGGATAAAGTGGAAGAGATGTTGGTGTCTTCTACTCCTCAACATAGGAATGACTTTTAGTGAGGGATATAGGGTTTGATTAATATGTATATTATGTCATAAAAGAAATATGTAATTTTTCCTTTATAGAAATGTTTATAACTTTTTGATCAACCGTCTCTCAAGTCTCATTTGAATTGCTTGATTTATTTCACGAGAATGAGAGTAAGCAGTGCCTTAGATTTCAAATGAATTATAGCCGCTCCACCCAAATAAAAAGAAACCTCAACCAAAATAGAAGATTCATTCCTTTTTAAAAGATTATCCTCGTGATCTTGGATATAAATCATATTTTCATAAAATCAAATAAATTGCTACTAATGACAGTTTAATATAGTAAAAACAACGATGATGTATTTTGAGCAAATCAGCATGATTGAGTGCACGAGATGAGATACATCCATTGTTTCCTACTTCTAGTAACTAATAAAGTTAAATGAGTAGAGGATGCTTCAAACCTCAATCATGCTGATACGCTGAAAAGAAAAAAAATTCGATTTGAAAATGTTATTATCAATTTATTTATTTATTTGGTAGAACCACGAATACGTTAGACAATGTTACACTATTAACCTCTTATGTTCTCAGCATTTCAGATGGTGGTTCACTTTCATTCCACACCGCATGTATTGCATCAACACAACGAGAGGATGCATAATGAGCAAAAGCTTGTTTTAGAAGAGAATTGTGCTTGCAAGTGTTTATAAGCACAGTATAGCCACCCCTGAATTATGGATTAAACCAGTTATATCAACAGATCCAGTTCAACCAATTAAACATAATATAAAACTGTTCAATTCTAATCCTACCAGAAACAAGAATCGCATTGGCACGTTGCTGCATGCAAGAAAAAATCTCCAATTTCATGTCACATAGAATTGTTAACATTTATGAAATAGCAGTTCAAGCAATAATCATTACTTTTCAAAGCAAATGGTTAATTTGATTAATGATATGAATTTTCATTGATATAAGAAAAAACGAACAACCAATTGCAAAATTAAATAACGAGAAACTCCATTTTAAAACCCCATTTTAGCAAATCCACCAAACCTAAAAAGAAAAGAAAAGAAGCATCAACTAAACAGATTCATCATCGAACACAAGGAAAAAAAAAAAAACACACACACAAAATTGGAGAGAAAAACAGATCCAATTCTTTTTACCTTGAAGTAGAAGAAACGGAAGAAGAAGGGTGGTGGTAGAACCTCAAATACGTTGGACAATGTTACACTATTAACCTCTTTCAAAACTTGGAGAGAGAGATTTGTAAAAAATGATTATGGGAGGCCTGCTACAAGAACCGACCCTATATTATGGGGCCTCCTCCAATTTCGGGCTCGCTAGTTTTGAACGATCCATATTATGAGAAATTACATTCTCGTTCCCTCTTTCTTCACATTAATTAGTCCCAAAACCCTTGAACCCTAAACCACAGAAAACATCTCTTCTGAGTTGCATCAATGGAGGAACAACGAACAACGAAGAGCTTCCCCGTGAAACCCAAAGTGAAAACGAAACCTAGAACTCCAAAGCAAACCCCAGAATCAAAGTACTGGTCTTCCTTCAAGACTCAACAAATCCCAAAACTCATCTCAGTCCCTTCCCTCACCTTCTCCCCAACTCAACCTCACTCCTTCGCCGCAGCTCATTCTGCTTCACTCTCCATCTTCAGCTCCCAAACCCTAACCCCAACCTCCACCATCTCCTCCTTCTCCGACTCCGTTTCCTGTGCCTCCTTCCGCTCCGACGCCCGCCTCATCGCCGCCTCCGACCTCTCCGGCCTCGTCCAGGTCTTCGACGTCAAGACCCGCACCGCGCTCCGCCGCCTCCGCTCCCACACCCGCCCCGTCCGGTTCGTCCAGTTCCCGCTCCTCGACAAGCTCCACCTCATCTCAGGCTGCGACGACGCCCTCGTCAAGTATTGGGATGTGGCGGAGGAGACTCCGATTTTGGAATTGCAGGGCCACAAGGATTATGTCAGGTGCGGCGATTCATCCCCTGTTAATGCCGACATGTTCGTTACCGGTTCCTACGACCATGTCGTCAAGCTCTGGGACGTTAGGGTTAGGGATTCGAAACCGGCTATGGAGGTGAACCATGGGAGTCCCGTGGAGGACGTGATTTTCTTGCCGTCGGGAGGGATGGTTGCGACGGCCGGTGGGAGCTCCGTGAAGCTCTGGGATTTGATTGGTGGCGGGAAGCTTCTGTTTTCAATGGAGAGCCACAACAAGACGGTGACTTCTATCTGTGTGGGTCGAATTGGGAAGGATTCTGGGGAGGAATCTAATCAATTTAGGATTTTGAGTGTGGGTTTGGATGGGTACATGAAGGTGTTTGATTATGCCTCAATGAAGGTTACACATTCCATGAGGTTCCCTGCACCTCTTTTGTCTGTTGGTTACTCCCCAGATAGTTCTACAAGGGTGATTGGGACTTCTAATGGGATTATCTATGCTGGGAAGAGGAAGACAAAAAAGGAAAATGAAGATGAAAATGAAAATGGGGTGAGTGAGTCAAGTTTGTTTTGGAGAATTAGGCCTGTGGAGCACACGGAGAGGCAAGTCTTCAGGCCTTCACATTTTAGGTATTTCCAAAGAGGGCAAGGAGAGAAACCTTCTGAGGGAGATTACTTGGTAATGAGGCCTAAAAAGGTGAAGTTGGCTGAGCATGATAAGCTGTTGAACAAGTTTAGGCATGGGGAAGCTTTAGTGTCTGTGTTGGAAAGTAAAAACCCTGGGAATGTGTTGGCTGTGATGGAGGAATTGGTGGCTAGGAAGAAATTGCTGAGGTGTGTTTCGGATTTGGATTTGGAGAAGCTGGACTTACTTTTGGTGTTTTTGCGTAAGTATTGTACCGTGCCCAGATATTCAAGTTTGTTGATGGGATTGACAAAGAAGGTTCTTGAAATGAGGGCTGATGATATTGGAGCTTCTGAAGCCCTCAAGAATCATATCAGAAATCTCAAGCGGTCTGTTGAGGAGGAGATACGGGTTCAACAGTCATTGCAAGAGATACAGGGTATAATTTCTCCTTTGTTGAAGATTGCTGGAAGAAGATGAAATTTTGGCCTTCTCTTCTCATCTATGAGGTAGTTTTTTGTTCACTAAAGAATTGTCTTTATTTTTGTGATTTAATTAAGGCAATTTCTGTTTCTTGAGAATTTTTGTTGGCAAATTTAAAGCGCATATTTCATATATGGTCTCATTTGGCACCTCCTTATAGTTTTGTTTTGTATGATATCCGTCAGAATTTACATATCTTTAAGGCTATGAATGGCAGGGTAGGCTTGGTTTGACTGGTATTTTTACACTTGCATCCATCTTGCACTCTTTGGATATTTTTGCGGAGGACCAAAATTGAATTGAATTTCCCGTGTAGCTATTTTCACCGGACTTGATCACTTGGACGAAATTTTGAACAAACTTCAATTATTATGCTAAACATAATTCAGAATGAGACCTAAATGCATGCCTGGAAAAGCTTCAAGGAGAACAGCATTAGAAGCATGCGGTAAATAGCTAAATAGTAGATTCAGCTGCAGCAAGTAGCTTTAGAACATAAAATCAGAATTTGCATTTTTTTGGGGCATTATAATGCACTTGAAAGAGTGAATATTCGTACGGGGTAACCTGCGCTAATATGAATCGTATCAGCTCATTTTCAATGAAGACATATTTTAGATTTCTATGGGAATGCTTTGATGTAAAAGTTGCCAAAATACGACCTTTCTCTATAATTTAAAAGCCACCAAGGCAGAGTGGGGGCTATGGGCCAATATATAGTTGCCTCTATATGAATCACATCCCTGAAAATAAATGGAAGAGTTTTTGTGTATGATTCTTCCGTGCCATTGTTATGATTTGTGTATTAATTCCGGTTCTCAAATGGGGATATGTTGATGAATAGGACCTTTAAATGTGTAACAATGCACTCATATTTGACAAACTATAGCCGGTGACCATACATTTTATAGCTCAGGCTTGCATGACACATCAAGAAGAAGACAACTTTATTAATCTAGCTGTTAGTATATCAAAAGTTCAGCGTTGATTTTGTTAAGCCAGTATTTGTTACTAGCTTCCCAGTTAAATGAGTGTTTCAATTCGGATTATGTGCACCATATAGGGATATTGGGATTTAATTACTCTCAAAAGAATAACTTTTAATATATATAGGGATGAATAAAATAAAAAAACAAACTTACTAATACACATATTCTTCCCCCCACAAACGTTATGTATAGTAAAAAGTGTAACCAAATTGCTTTTAAAAAACTACTTTTCTTTTTTATTGTCTTTTTCAACTAATTTGTTATTTTTATTAATACTCTTCAAATAATTTTGTTAAGAAGTTTAGATTTCAATTGGCATATTATTATCTATTGCTAAACTCATATTTATTCAAATTCAATTCAACTTCAAAAAATGTATCTCAGTCAATTTAATTTTTATTTTCCAATTTTGATTATTATAAATCAGGACAATTTTCGAATGATATATATGTCATAACAGACGCTATTGATTAATTTGATTAAAAGTAATGAACTAATATTTAATAAAGAATATTTTGAAAAATAAAATTAAAAATGGTTATAGAATAGTTCAAACAAATAACACATAAGGATACATTTTTAATAGAATGAATTTTTCGAGAATATATTATTATTTATAAAATGAGGGCGAGCCTTGAAATATTTTAAAGTTATTTTTATGATCAAAAGGTGATTGGTTTAAATTCAGAAAATAATTTCCTTGCAAAAATATAGAATTCATTGGAATGGCCTTTTTTTTTCAAAAAAAAAAACTATCGGAATATATTTATGATTAAAATCTTTTTAAACCATCATACTTTTGAAGTAAAACATTATATTTTTATAAATAATGATTATTTTATGTAATTAAAATTTTAATTGAAAACTGCACTACAGTCTAGTTATCTCCTTCGAATAAAGAAAACATAAAATGGAAAAACATAAATATTAAAATATACTTTACAACAATACATTGAATGTAAATGACACTTGATAAAATGGAATATTAATTAGTAATAAGCACATCACTCATAATAAAAAGTAACAAGAAGACGTTTACCAAAAATAAAATAAAAAAGTAACAAGAAGACTATTTTTTATTATAAATTAATTAATAATTGAAATTTATAATAAACACTATAATGCAAAGTGATCGAATAAATAATATATATCAATACTATTAAATTTGAACTAGTCGTTGACTTATTCAGCGTAATGAATTAATGAGTCATTGGTGTAACAAGTGCATATGGTTGAATCAAGTTTATAAGCATTATAACTAATAATAAGTAGAGTTGATATAATGCTGAGTGTTAAAAGTATATCAAACTTGTGTCCCTAGTTTGATCTTTATTAGTGGCTAATTTAACTAAAAAATTGGTGCCAGTTTGATAACGGTTGAACCCGATTTGAGAGTTGGGGATTCAATTTTCGGATGAACTGATCCGACCGGCACGTCCACTATAATTTTCATTATATTGATACACGATATATCTATAAAAACTTTATAAATAATTTTGATCTGATTTCTTAATGATTGACCTATAAATAACAATTAGAATATGGCATATTAGTTAAGGGAAAATAGTTTTTCATTTTAAAGAACTAAGTTATGTTATTCTATCCCCTTATAACTATATACTCCGGAGAGTATATAATTATAATATTAAAGTCATTATCACCAATATATTTTCCGAAATACATAATTATCAAGGAATAAGATGATATAATTTATGTTCTTTAAAAGGACAAAACGTTTTCCCATTATTATAATCTGTTGGGCCAGACTTAATGGGCCAAATTTATTATTAATTAATTAATAATTTTAGTACAATAAATTATAACCGTTGATGGACGGAAATCAACGGTTATGATCTAAAAGGATATAAGTTTATATCCTTTAAAAGAATAGATGTTATTCCCTTAATTAATTGTTGGGGAATATAAATATGATGATGCATACGATAATTTTGTCTCATCCATACACAAAAGTGGATGAGACTCACTTTTTTTTTCTTTTATTCTTAGTGAGTTCTATTTACTTTTTTTTATATATTACATGAGATAATTTTGTCTTATAAAATATAAGAAACATATTCCCCATAATTACAAGGGTTTAAGATTTTTAAAATTACTTTAGATAACTTTATCTAATGTTCACCAAAATAAACACAAAAAAATATATGGGGGTCCATGTGGACCCATGTGAAGAGAAGAGAGAGAGAAAAAAAAAATAAGCCCCACATATTTTTGTGTGTGTATTTTGATGAATATTAGATAAAATTATCTAGAGTAATTTTAGAAAGTCTAAACCCTAATTATAATAACTCAACTATTTAAACCAGACCAAGATTTATGCCCCATGTTTGACTGGCACCTGATGCTTTCCATTTGCCCCCATACAAAAATAATATTGTAATAAATCTATTACAGCAAGAGGAGAAGGTCATATCAATAAAAAAACACAGCCTTTTATTCAAGTTGGAAGGTAATTTAACACCACCGAACAAAATTGGCAACTCAAAGATTTCACAACCCCACGTTACCAATTTACAACAATTAAAAGATACAATAAAGAAAGGAAACTAAAACCATGGAACAGGTCTTAATTATTTATGAATTGACAACCGAACACTTAATGCGAATTTCCCCAGCGGAGCCTGTGAGGACCTGAACGGCTCCCATCCTCTTCATTGAATGCGCGAATTTTTTGAAGAAATATTTTTGTTCAACCAATTTTTGGGCAATATGTTTTGACTCATGTTTTGTTAGAAGGGCAGCATCTGATTGGAACAGACCCTTTTTCTGTAGAAGGTTTGGATAATAGTGACTATCGAATTTGGTAGCGTTGCCAGGAACCATCGCTATCGTTGTTGTGTTGTCACTGAGGTTCTTGCATTTAGTCTTCAAAAATGCAGCATAAGTTGGATTCAATGAAGGGTCTTGATCACCTTTTCCCGTGAAATTATAAAGCCTGCTACTGAACGAGTTGCAATGAGCTACTCCAATTTTGTGTGCTCCTACATTTATGGGTTTGATTTTCTCATGTTAAATAAGAATTCAATTCTCATGTTGTAGAGATATAAAACATGTGGTACCCATGTGTTACAAAAAATTATATGTAGGACCCATGTCAGCACGAAAATCGAAAGATGTGTAGTAAAATTTGAAATCTCATGTTAAATGAGAATTATAAAACCCATTATAATATATAGCCAATAATATTTGTACAAGTTAGTTAATATTTATTTCTTGCATCCATATAATATTAATTAGTATATTAGATTTACGACCAATGATATGAAATATGATTGAGCAATACGATTTATATTTAAATGTACCTGATAATACAACCAGATCGTGCACACCGAGATCTTTACTAGCAAAGTTTTGTTTGAGTTGGGTGAAGTTGAAGGTAGGTTGTGGGATATTGGTCAAGGCTTCGCTACTTTTCGATACTATGCCATCTCTTCTACCAGTGAGCACTTCCCACATTGGTTTTTTAAACTGAAAATTTTATCGGTCAATTAAGTACATGCATAAACTAAATAATAACCTCAGATTATGAGTGTGACGTGTCAGCTAAAACAATTAAAATAAATTCTACAGCGTGAACTTTGTTGTATAATCATCAGGCATACATTAATTGCTTAGAAGAATATAAAAAATGGTAAAGCTTACTTGGACAGAAACAGCGTCCCTAGCTGCCAATGCCACAATATCAGCACAAGATACAGTTTTGGGACATTTTGCTTCCACAGCAGCTTTAATGTCATCAATTACATCAAAGCCATGCAATGTTAAATTAGGAATTGCATCCTTCTCTGCAGTATTATTTGCAGTGGAGTTTATCAAAACCGAGCCATCACAACCCTGTAATGTTTGCAACAATGTTAAGCATATTTGTTAATTAAGTAGCTTCAGATCAAGTTGCATGTAGAAATGCCAATAAAAAGTTTATAAAAAGAAAACATAACTCGTAAAAAGAACTTGGAATATGAATGAAAATACCCTGACAAAACAGTCATGAAAATGCATTCTAAGCAAACTGGGGGGCACAGTGGGATCAGCAGAGACATGCTGCTGGATTTTCTTGTTTATAATCTCCTCGGCTTCAGGGCAGGAATGCCGGTAGAAATGCTTCCTGAGGCTGCCTCCTTGACAAACGCCAAGGAAACTCAAAAGTACCACACAAGCTACTAGGAAAAATCTGACCTTCATTTTCAAATTGAAAATCTTAACGTCACTTTCCTAATGCAGCTTAAATGGAATACTTGACTACTAGGACATGTCTCCCTTTTATAGGCAACATATGGCATCATTCTAAGATGAATTCATATTAGTATTTATTATCTTTAATTGCGT